CTTCTGTCAAATTTTGCGAGTCTGTTTGTGCTGTTGGGCTTCCTCCTGCCGGAACTGCCACTGCTGTTGGTTGTTCTCCTACCGTTGCTGGCGCTGGCGGTGGACATCACGGTGGAAGGACCTTGTGCCTCCGCGTCAATCCGCCGTTTCTCGTTTCCAGTTGCGGCCCTACCAGCAGCTTCATTTTTTGGTTTTTCTTGTTTATTGGGAGAGTCTTCTTGTGCTTCGGGTGTTGACTCCGCTGGTGCCGACAATTTGGGCAATTCGTTCCGTGCACGACTTGCTCCTGACTGCTCACCTGCTTCTTGGGGTTTCCTTCCCTTTGTGGATGCCGCAGCGCCGGTCTTCTCCAACGCATCACTCTCGTCGGTGATGGAGGGTGGGGAATTACCACCAGCAACAGGAGCGCTCAAAGATGCATCACCACCTGGACTGTCAACATCAGGCTGACTGCGACCACCAGAAGAAAAGGAGCCAAAAATGAAAACTTTGCTTCCGTCAGAACCTACACTTCCTGCAGGAGCCCCAGGAGAACTGCCACCATCACCGAGAACAGGAGATGGGGACTTGACATCCGAAGCAGGGGACTTCAAAGAGCCACCAACAAGTGCTTTAGAACCTCCATTTGAACCACCACCACCGCCAACAGAAGCGTTGCTGCCACGAGCTTGACTGCCACTGGCACCTCCAACGCCAACAGGACCGCCAGCACCGTCGTCTCTATCGCCTCCACCTTCGTCTCCGCGACCAGGAGGGAAACCGGCACAACCGAAATCAGCACATGAATTTGGAGCTAAATCCGATTTATTTTCCGCTGTACCAGTCACCAATGGGTCAGTCGAAGCCTCAACGGCAGTGATGGACAAGACAGATCGTAAAGGCAGCGTCAGCGCAGTTCTGTCACATCCGCTCGGCGTATACGATTTATTCGTATTCAACACCCACGACGCCATGCAGCCACCAACTGCGTCGTTGTCGAGATTACTCGCATCAGCCCCGCTGGCACCGCACCACAGCACGCAGAGGGCACACACCAGCAGCACACAGCCAGTCATCATCGCCATCACTCCTGTCACTTGCGTGCAGCCTTCAGCACAAACTAACAACACGTCAACGCAGAGTGAAAGCAAAAAAGGAGAGACAATTCACACACCACGCACAGCCACAGCAAAATAACAAACGGCAGCAGCACAGCAACAAATGGAAGCAGCACAGCAGCGGCAGCGCACACACACCATGAGGCAGTTGAAAGCAGTGAAAGGGCAAAAACACACAACGCCCCGCAGCAAGTAAACAGAGAAAACACACAAAACAATTAGAAACAAAACACATGTAAACAAACAGCAATGAAGTTAAAAATGTAAACACAAAACAAAGGCTGCACAGTATGGCTCCAGCGCGCATGCACCCATCCTCAAATGTGACTCCACGCAAACAGTTGTGTGCGTGCCATGCATATGAGTGTGTCTGGGGTGCGTTCAACGTGACGGATGCAGGGATCGGCAAGGAGCACACAGCAGGGCAGCGGAAGCAAGTGAAGCAAAACACAATCATTATTTTCTATTATTTATTTATTTACATCGGACCACAGTAGACGCGCACAAATCCCCGCGGTTGAGTGCTGGAACGCACAGCCTGCATACAAATCTTCAGCCCACAGTGGTGTACGCCAGCGCGGATACGGCGAGCAGCAGTGGGGCAAACACCCACGCAGAGCTGCTGAGGCTGCCGTCCATTTCGCGCAGACGTGACGGTGCGCGGGTGGTCGTCGTGGTTGGCGCCTCTGTAGTCGTAGTGGTGGTGGTTGTAGTAGTCGTCGTCGTGGTTGGTGCCTGTGTTGTCTCCGGCGCAGTGGTGGTCGTCGTGGTTGGTGCCTTTGTTGTAGTCGTCGTCGTGGTCGTCTTGGCAGCAACTCTGGCGTTCTTATCTTTTTGGTCTGCAGATGTATTCGTGTCAATTTCTGTTCCTGCCTTGTCGTCGCTATCTTCTCCCTGCTGCACATCGATCGTGTCTTTTGATTCTGATCCCTTTCCACCAACTTTTCCCGGTTCCGCACCGAGCCCATTACTCGGCGGCCCTGACGGAGCGGTCACCTGTGATACTGCCTCTCGTTGAGAGGGCGATGGACCGACGTCGGCAGGATCCCCAGGCGTCGCGTTCTTGTTTGAAATTCCTGGGGCCACCGAAGCTGAATTAGTGGCTGGTGCATGGGACGGCAGACTAGAAATATTTCCATTAGAGCCTGAATTCGGAACCAGTTCAGTGTCTTTCGCGCACACGGACGGGCAGCAGCACAGGGCGAGCACCAACAGGGCGCACAGCAGACGGCACGTCATCATCAACGTGAGTGTGGTCGTTCGGTGGTGTGGAGCTGATCTGCACAGTGAGGGAAATGGAGAGCAACAGGGGAGACGAGAGGTGCGGCAGACACACACAGAGGGCACACCACAAGAGAAGAGGGCAGCAGCCAGGCATGCACCGTACGCCGCACACCACGCACGACACACAGATGGAAGAGGGAGAAGCAAACAGGAGCGGCACCCAAGGTTCCACCGCATGTACACACGGCGAGAGCGGTCCGTCGTGTCTGAATCCCTCACGGAGGGTACGCACACACACAAGAGAAGGTGCAGCGCACACCGCAACACAAAAGCAAAGTAACAATTAAAAAGAGGAGATCCCCGCACACCACGTGAATTGTTGGTCCACGGGAAAGCTAGCCAATATTCATCACAAAACAACTTGTCATCTTGTTGTTGCTGTATGCTGTTGCAATAACGAGTGAGTAGCGCAAGGGCCGTCCGTACAAAAGTGGCAAGCATTCCATCCGAAACGTGCCATCGTGCGGGCTGGGGCACTCCAAGCAGTCGCATTCCCAATTCCCAACGACGGGGCATTTCTGCAGTGGATGAAGCGAATTCTCTCGTGGTCCATCTCGAGTACCCGCGGTTGTGCTTCCTGCGTGTCTTGCCTGCTGGCATGCTTGGCACTTTCTGTGGCGACCTGTGCGCGAGGCGCCTGTAAAGAAGACGCTGGCACCATTGTGGCATCCGCATCCGAGGCCTTCTCAAACCATCGGAACGCCAGGCTGAGCACGTCCGGCATGTGCCCTCATATTGTGGACGGACGAGCGCACTCTGCCGCAGGTTGGGCAGGAGAACGTCAATCCGCCGCTCGCTGGTCGGCAAGGATTTACGGTACTCACGTCGGGAAGAGGTTCCGGCGGAGGCAGCGGCGGGCCGGTCACCCCAGTGAGGGAGGGACGGCAACACCAACACAGGGGGTTACTTTTGATACGAAGGGCACGCGCAGGCATGTCGAAGAGTGGGCAGGAGTCGCACCGTGCCTTTGTGCAGAGCCGCCGCTCGGGGCACGATGTCCGGATCGAAACCAGGAATAGAGTCCTTGCCACACCGACAGGTGCCTGTCATACGGCGCACGCGCCTTCTTTTCTTCTGGGCATCCCTCCAGTACGGTCACCTGACTGCAGCGAGGAAGTCCACGTGCCAGATTGGGCCGCCCTCCTGCGGGAGGGATCGTGCAATCACGGCTTCTTCGTCAGTGGCCTCATTGCGTGGGATACCGCAGTGCGATGGAGAGATCATGAAGTTTACATAGCGAACTCGCTGCATCAAGGAGAGCAGCATAATCCAACTCTCTTCAGTGACTTTGCCTCGCATGGCCAGTGGGACGACGCGGGGTGCCTCAATTGCCGACAGGGAGTCTGTTGCCACCAGGATTCGTGTGGGCGATTGGGATGTTTCCCAGACAAAAGGTATGAGATGTATAATGCCATTTTCAGTGGCAAGGCACTCTGCTCTATATGAGTATGCGAGCCTGCCAGCTGCTGCACGATGGACCTCCACAGGGAGATCATTTGTCGTGGTGGAGCCATACAATAGTGCAGCGGATCCAGATGCGAGTTCGGAGAGAGAAGAAGAAACGTCTGTCCATAATTCAAAATCATAATCTCCCAGAGAGGAGTAAATAGAATCAAAAGCCGTGCGCTTGACGTCGTCAGAGGCGTCTTGGGCAAAGCGTGGCTGATAAATTCCACTTTATTGCAGCTCACAGTGTCCCAGGGGAAAATACGATGTTGAATAGAAGGAGCACGATTGTGGCTGTGGGGTATCCCAATAATATTACATACGCGGCGCAATCCATTAATAACAGCATCCTCGGAAGCGGGATTGATGCCGCCGCTTTCCCATGCATGGACGGCGGCATGGCCTCCAATCAGACTGCGCCACACACGTCCTCAATACATCGGAAAAGTGTGAGGCGTTCGTGTTGTGTGGGTGCGCGGAACCCAATGGTCCTCCGCAGCGGTGCTGGACTGGCGGCCAGGTGGACAGGATTATCCTTCTTTGCTGCGCGTGGGCCGAGCGATGCAGTGCAGCTGTCGCGGTGCCGCACTTCCAGGCCGTGGAGGTGAATGGGAGCCGGACACGGTGCGATTGTCTCGCCGCCGTCGTGTAACGCACTATGGACGCACCCAACCAGAAAGAACTGCATGGTGTGCTGGGACGCACCAGCCTCCGCTCCCAGCCGCAGCTGATGGCGGAGTAGTGCGGTCTACTTTTGTGTCTGTGTGAAGAATTTTGCTGTTTTTTAAATTTTGGTACGGGCCGATGGTGCATTGGCGTTTTCTGATTCAGTAGGGGAAATGCGTTTTGAAGAAGCCGTTGCAGGTATTCAGCGTCGTTGTGGATAACAGATGTGCGCCTGCCTCCGTGAAGGCGACAACAGTGTCTTGGATTACAGCATAAGGCACTGCGGCTTAATTTGGTGTTTTACAGCAATTTTATTGGACAGTGCATTTGATTTGCGGTTATTGGGTCTTTTGTGGGGAAGGTGGGAGGCTGAGGGCATGAGGACTGAATTCATTGTGTGGCTGCGTTCCGTTGAATTTCGACCAGCCGTGGCACTCTTTTGGGGTTTGACAGCTGTCTCTTTTGCTTACTTCCCACCGCAGCAGGTGGATAACACTGATCCGAGGAACATTTGTTTGACCGCGTGTGGGCTGCTGCCGTGCGTGGTGCATGGACCATGTGATTGTGTGGGGAGGTGCGTTGGAGTGACGAATACTTCTGTTTGGCGTGTCGCGGTGTGTCGGAATGACGTTCGGATGGCATGTGGAGGGTGTTGTTTGTGATTTGTGTTTCCTCTCTGGTGGAGCCGACATGTGTGCGGGGGATTGCGGCGTTGCTGGCTGACAGCTCCACGTCACTTTTCAGCATTCCTGGATGTGCTGAGGAATGACGGCTGGCGACCAGCGTGTTGGTGCTGCTGGTAGGAATAAGTGCATCGGGAATAGTCCATTTTCTCTTTTCCGTGCTGGAGCCGATGAACTGGCACGAGGGCACCGGCTGCAGGCTGCCTGCCAGCACGTGTGAGCAGCGGATCCATGCACACACCGACGCTCATCGCAAGAGCTTGTGCGATCACGGTGGCATTTTGTGGCGTGCTTTTATGGGCGTCAGCCCGTCGAAGAGTGTGTGAACCAAACGGCTGACTGCACACGAGGAAAATAAGTGCGTGCACTGTGCCGTGTTTCAGCGTCGATGGCAGAGCGACAGGAAGCCCGTGCTGGCAACCGAGATCGTTGCGTCGCGAGGGATGTCGGTATTGATTTTGGATTGTCGAGGGTGAAGTGATTTTGCTGCTGCCCGTGTGTGTGGCCACTCCGGCGGAGGGCGGACACAAAAGGGAGGGATGCAGGCGCTGCGTGTGTGTGTGTGCAGGTGCCATGCAACAGCGTCACAACAAACATGCTGCGACTCGGTGACCCCTGCATCGCTGTGGTCCTCACGAGCAGCCGAGGCACGGCCCACATCGATGCACTTAGTGGACGGAGTGGGGCATCTTTCGAGGCGCTGCAGGGAACAGGATGTGTTGACGCAGCCAAAACGTGCATGGAGCGTCACGATGGCACAGTCGGCTGTGGCTGGTGGAATATTTACTTCTCGGAGCCAACAGAGAGAGGGAGAGAGCTGCTCCTGCTGCTGGCGTCGTTGCTGCCCTTTGTGGCCTCCCATGCCGATTATTGTCTGTCCGCTGATCATGGGTGGCATGCCTCCACTAGTGACGTCGTCTGCAGGCATTCCACAGCACCAGTGAAACACACACCACGTCGCATGCTTTGGCTGTGCATGTGGTGTTGTGCATGCAGCCGGCATTATTTCGCCCGACTCCTTTTCACTGCATTGCGACAAATAGATGCGTCCCCGCCCGAGTCATTCACTGCAGCTCCGTGTGCTGTACTGCCAGCACAAGACTCTCCTGTTGTCTGACGCCTGGCTGACAGTCCAACACCACAGCGTTGGAACACACAAGGATGTGGACTGCCGCTCACGGTGTTGGGCACCGCTGTTTGGATGCGGCGGCCACACGAGCGGATGTATTGTGGCACAATCAAGTGCGTGAAGTACGCGGAACCACAGCGGCTGCAATAATATCAGCGGTGTGGCACCACGGAGTACGTGAGAGGGTGATGCATGATGAATCACAGTGGGCGGCATGCGAGGGAAGTGCACCGCGAGAGAGCGTCACCCCGCCCTCAGCCTGCAGGGGAATGTACACCCACAAAATATATAGACGAGACACCACCAAACACACATGCCCTTCCGTGCACCAATAAATAGGAGCGAATGTGCGTTCTGGTGCGTGGGAGTCCACTCACATATTTTCATTTCCACCGCAATAAACGGTGAGGAATCAGGTGCCACAGCAACGAAGGAGGAAATAAAAACATCTACTGCAGCACTTTACCAGCGAAGGGCAGGAACAGCACAAACCGAATTGTTGGCTGCACCAACACAAGAAAACTTTAAAATAGGAAAAAATAATTGTGCACCCTGCGGGAACCCCCAACACACGACCCAGGCATGAAGGTTTACCCTCTGCAAAAACAAAACAAAACGTGCAGACATCTTCCAACATTCAAACAGAAACACAAATAAATGGTTTCCTGCACTCTTCTATTCCCTGGGCTGAATATGAACGAGGGCCAAAGGCAACTGAGTTGCTTTTGTGATGAATATTGGCTGCAATTCCCGTGAACCAGCAATTCACGTGGTGTGCGGGGATCTCCTCTTTTTAATTGTTACTTTGCTTTTGTGTTGCTGTGTGCGCTGCACCTCCTCTTGTGTGTGTGCGTACCCTCCGTGAGGGATTCAGACACGACGGACCGCTCTCGCCGCATGTGCATGCGGTGGAGCCTTGTGTGCCGCTCCTGTTTGCTTCTCCCTCCTCCATCTGTGTGTTGGTGTTGCGGCGTACGGTGCATGCCTGGCTGCCGCCCTCTCCTCATGTGGTGTGCCCTCTGTGTGTGTCTGCCGCACCTCTCTTCTCCCCTGTTGCTCTCCATGCCCCTCACTGTGCGGATCAGCTCCACACCACTGAACGACCACACTCACGATGATGATGTGCCGTCTGCTGTGCGCCCTGTTGGTGCTTGCCCTGTGCTGCTGACCGTATGTGTGCGCGGCAGGGAGTGAGATAAAACTGAAAAAGCTGCAGAAACTCCAACGCCCCAGGATTCAGTGGTTTCAAACGATTCCGACAATACACGAGCAAAAGTCACGGAATTTAATGGACGGAGTTCAGATAAGGAGGCCGATTCGTCAGAGAGACCATCGAAGACCGTCTCTGCGTCAGCAACTCCATCTTCGACAGGTGCAGAAGAAGGACCAAGTAGAGCGCCCGCTTTGCAAGATGGAAGAGATGCGTCTGGTCAGCAAGGGGCATCAGAAGGGAATAGCCTTTTACCAGGATCAACAGGTGATTCCGATAAGTCAGATGTAAATCGGGAGCATAATAAAGAAGTGGCGCTAGCCGATAAAGAGGTTAAGGAACAGGCACCAACCACGACAACCACAACGACCACAACTACAACAACGACCACCACTGCGCCAGAGGCACATCGTACTACGACTACGAATACGGAGGCTCCAACCACGACGACCACCCGCGCACCGTCACGTCTTCGCGAAATCGATGGCAGCCTCAGTAGCTCTGCGTGGGTGTGTGCCCCGCTGCTGCTCGCCGTATCCGCGCTGGCGTACACCACTCTGGGCTGAAGAGGTGTGTGCGGTCTGTGAGTGCCAGCACTCAGCCACGGGTATTTGTGCGCGTCTACTGTGTTCCGATGTATAAAGTAAGAGAAATTATGATGATTGTTTTTTGCTTTCGCTGCCCTGCTGTGCGATCCGGGTTGCTTCTCCACATCCGTCACGTTGAACGCATCGCGGACACACTCGCATGCATGTACACAGGAGTCTTGGGTTTGTTTTTTCTTTTTTGTTTTCTTGGTTTTTAATCTTGTGGTTTTCAGTGCGGCGTGCATTTTCTGCAATCGTGCTGATCCAAACTATCTCGTCCTGTGTGCTCTGCTTCTGTGTACTCTGTGGTGTACCGTCGTGGTTTTTTGACGTGTCTCTCTTTGCTTTGCGTTGACGTGTTGTTAGTTTGTGCCGAAGGCTGCACGCAAGTGACAGGAGTGATGGCGATGATGGCTGGCCGTGTGCTGCTGGTGTGTGCCCTCTGCGTGCTGTGGTGCGGTGCTGTTTTTGGACACGCGATGGAGGATTACGGCAGTGAGGGCGGAGGGAACGGTTTGAGGCACACGAGTAATGGTGGAGATGACGGCGTGTCTCTAAAGGCGGACTGCGTGTTGTTATCCACTCGAATGGCATTAATAAAGGCGGTTGAGGCTGCGGATAATGGACATGTTGAATTGAGTGGTGTACCAGACCATCTTCAGGATACCGGGGAATCATCACCTAATAATACGGAGGGCAGTGCAGCGGCTGGTCCAGGAGGTCAGCCAGCAGGACTACTGCCGAAGCCCGAAGGATCAGATACAGAAGGACAGCAAGGAGAACCAGAAGGGTTGGATCCAGCTAGTGGAAAAAAAACAGATGGTAAGAGCGATCGCAAGGACGGTACGGCAACTGGACCCCAACACCAAAGAGCTGATCAATCGTCGTCTTCTTCTTCACCTGGCAGCTCTGGCACTGAGGGTGTCAAGCGACCCTCTTCGAGAGCAAATTCCGAGAGTAATGAAGCCCTCAATCACCTGCCGCAAGAAGAAAAAGATCTTCGCGGTGAATCTGACGGTCGTGAAATGGAGGCCGAAGAAGAACCAAAAAAAACAGGAGACAAAAAAAATGCAAATCGTGAGGCACCTACAGAGACACGTGGAAGTCCAGCCAACAACACGGAAATACAAACAGCAACACCACCGCCACCACCAGCACCAATGAATGGACATTCCAGCTTTGAGGATTTACCACCCATGCAACCGCTACAACGCGTCCAAGACGACAATACAGAATCCAGGCCACCATCACCCACGGCAAACGCTGATGCCGCCAATAATGATTCTGAAAAGAGCACTGAAAACGGCATGCCGAACAGTGATCAAGCATCCGATGCCCCAGGGACAGCAGAAGAAAAACAAAATGAAAATAAAGATGCCAATCCGAAAGAAACACCAGTGACGGCCACAGCCATGAAAACTGCAACGGCAACGACTGGCGACAGTGACGGCAGCACCGCGGTCTCCCACGCCACCTCCCCTCTTTTGCTTCTTCTTGTTGTTATGTGTGCGGCTGCTGCGGTGGTGGCCGCGTGAGAGTGAGGGAGAGAGAGCCGTGCACCGCCCGCACACACACTCTTCCTTCTCTCTCTGTGTGTGTGTCCCCTTGCATGGACTCTCGCCCTCACCTCACCCCACGAAGCACACACAATAATGTGCCCATTGTATATATGCATGCACACCCATGCAGGCCCGTTGGTGCTCTCTTTTGCACGACACGCACCGCTGCCGTCCTGCCTGGCTGCATGGGCGGAGCACCGTAACTGTTTCTGTTTTGTTTTTATTGCATTGAGTGGGCGACCTCTCTCTCTCTCCCTCTGTGTGTGTTTTGCTTTACTGGAGCAATGAGAGTGTGTGTGCGCTGGTCGTCCCACGCTTCGGCTTTTTGTTTTTTTCCATTTATTGTTTCATTTTTGTTGTGGTTGAGTCCACTCATTATGTTTTTGTTTTTTGGATTGGTGGTTTGCTTAGAATGTGGACGCATGATTTTTTATTTTATTTTCTTTTTTCTTTTGTTTTGCGATATTGTCAGTGTTTCTTATCCTTGTCAAGCCATTAATTGCTTTCTTTTACGTACAGCATGCGCCAATTGGTCACGTTAACCCACGGTCTGCAGTGCTGCTGGTGCTTGTGGTTGTGATGATGTGTGTGGTGTGATTGCCGAGAGGGAGTCCGTTGCCACCAGGATTCGTGTGGGCGTTTGGGATGTTTTCAGACAAAAAGGTATGAGATGTCTAATGCCATCTTCAGTGGCAAGGCACTCTGCTCTATATGAGTATGCGAGCCTGCCAGCTGCTGCACGATGGACCTCCACAGGGAGATCATTTGTCGTGGTGGAGCCATACAATGGTGCAGCGGATCCAGATGCGAGTTCGGAGAGAGAAGAAGAAACGTCTGTCCATAATTCAAAATCATAATCTCCCAGAGAGGAGTAAATGGAGTCATTAGCCGTGCGCTTGACGTCGTCAGAGGCGTCTTGGGCAAAGCGTGGCTGATAAATTCCACTTTATTGCAGCTCACAGTGTCCCAGGGGAAAATACGATGTTGAATAGAAGGAGCACGATTGTGGCTGTGGGGTATCCCAATAATATTACATACGCGGCGCAATCCATTAATAACAGCATCCTCGGAAGCGGGATTGATGCCGCCGCTTTCCCATGCATGGACGGCGGCATGGCCTCCAATCAGACTGCGCCACACACGTCCTCAATACATCGGAAAAGTGTGAGGCGTTCGTGTTGTGTGGGTGCGCGGAACCCAATGGTCCTCCGCAGCGGTGCTGGATTGGCGGCCAGGTGGACAGAAGTATCCTTCTTTGCTGCGCGTGGGCCGAGCGATGCTGTGCAGCTGTCGCGGTGCGACGCACTGTGGACGCACCCAACCAGAAGGGATCGCGTGGTTTGCTGGGACGCACCAGCCTCTGCACCCAGCCGCAGCTGGTGGCGGCGTGGCACGGTCCGTATCGCAGCAACGGTGGCGTGCAAACCAAAATTGAGGTGTCGATCAATCGCATTGCCGAGCAGACGCACCGGGTGGGACTTGACGCGTTGGTTCCCATCGCCCAGACGATGGTCGGCCGTGTCCTCGTCAGACTGTCGGTGTGAGGCGATGCAGAACAGAGCGGCCCCGCTCCTATCGGCGTTGATATTCAGGCTGTGCTCGGCAGCCCATGTGGCCACAAGGGACACGGCAGTTGGCATTGCCGCAGCACGGAGACGGATGTCTGCACACAAGGCAACAAGCGTGCGGCCGTCAGCGTGAATGAACGCCGGCGCAAAGTGAATGCTGTACAGGCAGCGCAGCAGACCATCCACGCGGTGGGTAGGAGCTGCGGTCCAAGGAAGCTGCATTGGGCTGCCCCGGCTGAGGCGAGCTGCTGTCGGGAATATTCTTGGCGAGCACATACCGAAACGCCGCCGCCTCGCAGGTGACTGCGCTACCAGCGTTGGGAGCGACGGCCCAGACGCGGGAACCCGTCGAGCACAGCCAGCACTCGCCCATCGTCAACGGTGTCGATCGCAGTCGAGATGCCGATCTGGACGGCGAGAGAGCGGTGACGGCGACGGTGCAGCGCGGGACGCCTCTGCGACGCTCGCACTCCACGCTAATGCGCTCGCTCGACACTTGTGACGTTTTTTCACCCACAGGCGGCGGTGGACCAGTACTTCCCTCACCCCTAGCAGGGCAGAGAGCAGCGGGATGGGCCGGCAACTCTCTCCGTGCGGCATTTTCCCTTCCCGTGTCTGTGGATGCGAGTGTTGTTCCCCGTTTCCCAGGAACCTCGCAGGCTGCCGTCAGCGAGTGAGGTATTGATTATCGTTCTGTGCGGGCAGCGGGTGCAAAATGGCGCAGAAGCACATCCTATACGCCGAATTGTCCAGAGGCCACGCCACGCAAACAGTCGCGGATGGCCGAGTCAGGTGCACACGGCGTGAAGGGCCAATTCATATCTCAGTCACCAGAGGGCACGCAAGCACAAGGTGTGCGGGCAACAGTGGGGATCGCAGCAAGTGCGACGCTGACAGTGTGACGGACGAGCGGGTGTGCCCGCTGCAGAGGCAGAGCACGGACGCGGTCCCAAGAGTGCCGCAGCACAGCCGATCCCAGAGGGCAGGAACGTGGTGCCGCCATGCCTCGGAGCACCACAGGCCTGGGCTCGAGAGAGTACCAGGCTGTTTCGCACGGGCCTCTAGCAGCATGGAGAAAACACGGCGAAGGGTATGATTGCGGTCCTCCCATTTGCGGAGAGCTTCAGCTCGGGGCAGGCTGCCTCCCGGTAAGAAAGTACGCTCGTTGCATGCTGTCGCCGCAACAGACTCGGCCTGCTCCATTCCGTCCGTCGTGATTCCTCTGGTCTGTCACGACTGCCGCGCGGTATGGTGTATTTGCGCATCTACAACTATGTGGTCACAGCGGCCAGAGGTGTTACACACGCCGTGGTGGAAGCATCACAGTCGGCATCACGCAGGACAAGGGCGGCATGTTTCCGTTGTGGCAGCATGCCTGCCTGTCGCGGGATGCCGTCCTCCGTCTCCGCAGTGTGGGATGGCAGATGGTGGTCCGAGTCCATGTAAACAGGTGGAAGTACAGTGGGAGACACGCAGAGCGCGTTGCACAGTCACGTCGGGAAACGAGACGCTGCGGCCGCTAATCCGAGTCGCCTGTGCCGTGTCGTCGGACAGCTCACACTCCATGCCGCTTGGGGTGGCGGCGAGGCCCTCTCCTGACGTCGTGGATGGTGAGCGACCGTCCCACAGCTCATGGTGTGAATTCAGGTCAACCGCAATAACCGCTGCGGGGCCTAAGCGACGAATGTTGCCCGCAAAGTGAGCAAAGTGAGCAATTACTGTAGGAAGGGTTGCAGAGGTTCACCACGTACATGCTGGGGCTGGCCGGTGGGCACACGCGGAGGGCGGTGGTCTCCAGGCAGTTGGCTCCAGCAGCGACAGGCGCTCGCACGGAAAGGTGTGGTGCACCACGAAGGCCACGCCAGCGGCACGCCCACTGCAATGCCCTGGTGGAAGACACCGCAGCCAATGAGCCTCGTCGCTGGGCACTCTGGTGCCTGCTCTCATCCAGAAGAGCCATTTCGGGCTGTTGCTGCGCCAGTCAAGCAGCAGAGGCAATCTTGAGGGAGAACCGCCTAAAGTTCTGAGCTGCTAGATAACTACGAGGCCATCCTCATCGGGGTGCGGTCCCTCTCTCCTCATGGCCACGGAAGAAGACAACAGCCGCCACACGCAACTGCCAGCATGCACTACAAAAGGTGCATCCAAATCCACCGCAACGTGCATCTTGTGTGTGCCTGCAGCAACACAAAGCAAAGAAGTGGAAAAGAGGGAGCAGAGTATGTGGAGGGACGCACAAAAATGTACAGCGGAGACGCATAACGGAAACAACAACAACAAGACCGCTCAAACTCATGACTGCACCGCAGCCCAAGCAGTGGCAATTCACACAATATTTATTGAAAACAAAAAACGTCCCCCTTCGTCTTATGTAAACCCCATCACACAAAATAATTATAAATGAAAAGAAATCGTCCATTGCTGCTCCACACAAATTTAAAATAAGAAAAAAATCGCCTGGCTGCCGTGTGGCCACACCAAACTGTCTGTATGTATTTTGCCCGCAAAAGAAAATTAAAAAGATGGTTGCGTGTGCTTCAACCGTCCGATCCTCCATGTGTCCGCACATCGTTTATATTTCATGGGGTCATCTGCGTGTTGCTGCTCCCCTCAGCCCTCTCATCGGCGCGTGAGTGCGGCCCGCAGAGCACAGTCACTCGTGTGTGGGGACTGAGAGAAGCACGCAGACATGACGGCAGTCGCGTCACTCCATCGGGAGAGTGAGCGCAGCAAAAGAAAAAGAAATCATCGGAGGGGAGAGAAATGCTCACGAGGCCGACACCGAAGGGTGCGCCACCGCATGAAATAAACACGCAAAGCAAAACAAATCCTTAAAGAAAAACACGGCGGCAGGGTGTGGCTGTGTGTGTGTGGCGCTGCGGGTGTCTGCCAGCCCTGGCCGCAAAGAAAACAAAACAGGAGGGAAGAAATGTGTGCTCCGCCCCACAGGCCCTCGTCGCACGCCCACACGTCACGGCTCCCGCAGCGCGCCGTTCGTCGCGGCCCCTCCTCATGCGTGCAGCGGGCGAGGCGCACAGGGCCGTCGTCATGAGCGTGTCGGTGGGTGTGCGAGTGGAGCAGTTGGGCGGGAAACACACGGCACCCCTCACAGGAGGAGTGCAGCAACAAACAATTAAAGAGGGAAGAGTAGAAAAGAAAAAACGTCCATAGTGATTGCCCCAAAAGCAAAAAAGAAAGAAATGAAGAAATTGAGAAATAAAAAACAAAAAGGAAAAACGCACAACCAAAAAAAAAAAAAAAAAGCTATAAAAATATTTTAAAGCAAAAAAAAAAAAGAAATGGGGGGAGTGAGAGGTAAAAGAAAATGGAATAAAAGAAAAACGAAAAAACAACAAAAAAAACATTGAAAAATGAAAAAACGCACAAAAAAGCTTTATATTACGCACA